AAAAGAACAAAGAAAGAAACAATGAACAACACTAAAACCAAACACCACCAAAAAAAAAAAAAACCCACCAAAAACAAACCCCAGAACAAATTGAAGGCACCAAGATGATCTGAAGAGACATCTTAGAAACCAACAAACAAAAGAGTATTCTGGAAGCCAAACTTTTCCATTTATTAGTCATCTACAAAGTTTTTTTTTGGATTGTTTGTTTTTTAGCCAAAATAGCATAAAGAAATAACTAACCATTTAATTGTTTGGAGGAGAGGGGGTTCTCTCTTCAAATTTTTCTCAAATTTTCAACAAACATTCACGGCATAAAAGCTACCAGATTTCCATGTCTCCAGAGTAGAAAAGGAAATGAGAACGAAAAAACGCCACCCCGAGCGGGCCTCTTCTCTTCCCAGACTGCACTTTGGTACCAACCCTTGGATATCACCCCGTATCTCTGAAGAGGAGCTACCATCGAAGCAGAAGTGGCACACAGCAGCTTCCTTCCGCCAAGAAACCAGTAGGGAGAGGCCAGCCTTTTTGCAGGGAATTTCAAAATCAAGGTTGAGCAATCAATTCTTGTTCCCAATTGCTATAGACATGCAAATCTCAGCTCACCCTTTCTCTCCTTTTTCAAAAGCTTTATTTTCAGATTTCCTTTTGATGGTATAGAAATTGCTCCTTTTAGAACAGTGAAAGTTACTGGGGGGGGAAAAAGTTCCTCAAAGGTAGCATCCATACTACAGCCCCTTTCCCCTGGCACTACATACAAGGGCCGGGTTTTCTAGTCAGTGGTCTGTTTCTGCACCAAAGCCAAGTGATGGAAGCCAACTCTAAATGCCTGCAATCCTTTAAAAAAAAAATTCATCAAAGGTTTAGCTGAATGATATTTATAAGGCCCTTTACTGTTCTCTTTCAAAAACTGAACTGCCCTTCTCCGGCACTTGAAAAAAAAAAAAGTTGCTCGTGCTTTTCATCTTTCTCTCTTGGAGTGTAAACATTGTTTTGACTGAAAAGAGCTGAAGGAGTGCTTACTTTCCCTTGAAATTTTATTTTTAAATAAGAGAGGGAGAAAATCCTTTCTCTCTTTTTTTTTTCCTGACTAATACTAATAATACGGGTCAAAGTGTCAGGCGATATACAATTAAATGGAAAACAACAAAAAAAAAAGTTCCCCTTCTTTCTTCCCACAGCACAATGGCGCTGGAATATAAATTACCACTGAAGATGAAATAATACTTCAAAGCCGGCAAGGCAAGGCAGGGCAGTGTTTATAAAGTATTTCCACGGCACGATGAGACACTAAAGATGATGATAGCCCATGGACTTGGGGGTGTTGTTGAATAGACCAAAGCTAGCATGAGGTAGGATTTGAGGTCCCTATAGCCTGTGACCCCATGATATCCTTTGTTTTACAAGGGCAGCTGCAGTTATCAACAGATGTTTCAGCAATAAATAATTGGTATCATCTCGGAAAAGACCCATCTACCTGGGGAGAGGGCATAATACCCAAAACACTGCCTGGCTATTACAGCCACATTAATCTCCCATCTCTCCAGGTTTCTGGGGGAGCGTCCTGCAGGTGTTTTTTCTGGGAGAGCGCAGATAAACTCTCTCAAGTCAGCAAGCTTTGTGTGGAGTGTAAAGGAAGTTGGCCCCTGCCATAAATATCTGTCTGTGGCCACACACACCAAAGGAAAAAAGATTGAAGAGGGAGGGAGGAGGGAAAGAGAGGGCTAGGGAGGGGTGTGGAGAGGGGGAAAGAAGGGAAGGGGGAAAAGAGGGACATGAGGAGAAGGAAAGAGAGAAAGGGAAGGCTGGGGAGGAGATAGACGGGAAGGAAGGGAGGTAGGAAGGAAAAGGTTGGCGACAAGAAATTAGGGGAAGGGAAGGAAAGGGCTGGGGAGGGAGATTGGGAGAAGAGGGGAACACAGAAGGCATACAACACACCCCATTTTTCTGCATTTACTAAGTTCAGCCTGAGTAGTGCCATTAGGAGTGATCCGCATTTTCACCAACTGAAAGCTATTGAAGAGTCGACCATCACTTAGCCTTTTCCTTAAGCCTTTTCTTCTGACTTTCGGTCTGTTGTTTGTGGAACTAATGAAAAGATATACCATTTGCAAACTAAGTGCTGTGCTGACTTTGTAAAGTGGAAGGAAAACTTTTTATGGGAAGGATTCCCTCTAAAGTTAAAAAAAAAAAAGTCCTCAGCAATTGATCCCCAGTGTCACACCAGGACAAAACCCAATCAAGAAAGCTAACCAAGCTGTTCTAACAGGCTCAGACACTAAGCAGGGCGAGCTAGAGGGCGCCTGGCCCAGGGGGCACTGGACTCCCCCACATGTACAAAACAGGGTGGGTCAAGCAGTTGTGCACTTTGGGCCTGGCACAGTAGGAAAACATCCTAAAAGTCTTAGGAGGTGTGGTTGCTTAATTTATAGCTTGCTGGCTAAGCTAAAGAAAATGAAGCTCAGAGTTCAAAAAGCTGCCAGATTAAATACATTAGGCACTAAAGGAGGCCCCGATGCAGATTCTTAGAGCTGCCCCTGAATGACCTCGTGTGAGAGGCACACACTTCTTAAGTTCTCTGGCTTTTGATGCCACTGTGGTGAAATGCATGTACTATACAGATGCCTAGCGCTCTGAAAACATTCCTGAGTGGTTTAGCACTCAGCTCACACGAACCCCCCAAATATAGAAGCCTGGAACTGGCTTCATTTTTTAAAAAACTGTTTTCACTATCAAGTTTGGAAGGAGGACTGGGGACCAGGAGAATAACAAGATAGAAGAAGGAGAGAAAAGCCGTGGTTGTGGCGATGTGATGCGCCCCAAGGTCTCAGCCTAGATTCAAAAACCAGAGGAGCGTTCTAAGCCCCAAAGTCAGAGCAGGGGTTACTCCCTGTGGGCCTCTTTGGTTCTGGTTTTCCTTGGAAGGCTGCTAGAATTCTTGTCTGCAACTGGCCTGACTACACACATGGCATCTTCAAGCAGGTGTAGCAGCCGTTCTGGAATGGCTCAGTCTAAGCAACAGTTTGCACAACCAGTGGAGGAGAGAGCTCTTTTCCAGTTGGTTGATCTCACAATTTTCACACCCAATTCTCCTTTTTGCCTCACCTCCCGTCTTCTGCCTCTGCCTTCTTGGTCAAGCTGTGGTCTCTTTCTCCACATGTCTCCTATTTCTTCTCTTTGCATCAAGGATTCCCAGAATCACGGGAAGTGGTTGTATATTTTGCGTCTTAGACCTTCACCTCCACATAAGATTTTTGGCGAGGTGGTTAGGTAAGGGGTTTTGTTTGGGGCTTAAGTTTCCATGCCCTATTTTACAAGATGTTGCTAGAAGAGTCACTGGTTTAGAGATATCCTAACCAGTAAGATGTTAACGCCAGCCACATGTGATTATTTAGGCAGATGTTCATTTAAAAAAAGGAAAGATAAAGCACAAATTCAGATCTTCAGTTCCACTCGCCTTTACAAGCATTCAAGAGCCTAATAGAATGGTGATGGCCATGTTGAACAGCACAAAAGGGAACACTTGCATCTCTGCAGAGGATTCTGCTACAGATCAGGCCAAGTTGCAGAGCCCCCACCTGTAGTACCAGCTACTTCACCCAGGGCTTTCTGATGGCAGGGTTGAAATTGCACAAAGGAGGAAATTAAAAGTAGTTGTTCATTTGTTTCCCTGGGCCAGTTTATCTTTCGGTACTTAATATTTTTATTTGTTCAAAAAAAGAGTTATGGTGATGAAAATAACCCATCAGAGGGTTGCTTGGACAATTTGATGAGCACTTCATCAAATCAATCATATGTAATTTAGAGTTACTATTTTATTCGGCTTCTCCATTAATGCCAAGCATATTTATTTAAAAACCTCAGAAAAGGTCATTATATTCTTTCCAAGTATTCTCTTCCCTTTGTCTGAAATCCCTCGGTCTGCTTAATCTGTTTTGGTTGCAGGTTTTCCAGTGAGAAGAGAGAGAGGCTCAACCACTCATAGTAAATCCCTAAAAAACTATTATCATTGTCACCCATATGTATATGTGTGTGTGTATATATATGTTAATGTATGTATGTATTGTTTGTGTGTGCATGTATGCTGGTCTTGAGCACTGGCCCTAAGCTTTTTTGCTAAAGGCTAGTGCTCTACCACTTGAGTCATAGCTCTACTTCTGGCTTCTTAGTAGTTAATTGGAGACAATGAACCTCAAGGACTTTCCTACCCAGGCTGGCTTCATACTGCAATCCTCAGGTATCAGCCTCCGAATAGCTAGGATTACAGATGTGAGCCACCAGTGCCTGGCATCAAATGTATATTTATGTAAGAAAAAAAATCGTACAAACAAGTGGATTTTCTTGACAATTATCTTGGAGAGTGAGAATCAAAAGCAATGCAACTTGAAAGGAAAGCCCTGCTCCTTTTAAAATCAGCAGAACCTAAGCTTGAACCCTAAGTTCTCTGGGTCCTGTTGCTATTCTTAAGGTTGTCTCTGGCCCTCAGTGGAGGTAGTTCACTACATTTCTAGTGAGTTGAGAAAGAAACATGGCAACAACTCACATTGTTTCCTGAGTCATGAGAAGCCATGGAAGGACCGAGGATGGATTTGGGGAAAGGACATGACAGAATTCATAGTTTAGATAGCAAATTGCACAGATGTGAGCCTAGTGATGTTTTTTTTCAAGCTATCCAAGTATCATTTCAAAATAAATAAGTTATAAGGTACGGTGAAATCACAAACATTCTTTAGCCCAGAAAGACATCAATATTTCAAGTAGACAGGCCTTGATTGAACCCACTGGCCACGCTTCTTACTTTTACTCCATTTGGTTTCCTCACACGGACAAGTTGATGTTTTTTAAACAGCTATTTCCCCTACATTAGTCAATCTGGCAGAACTGACTGACCATAAGAGTAAGCTTGTCCTGTGCTTCAATGAAATTTAATCTATTAGACCACTTAGAGTCTAAATGGCTCCTTTGGGGGCAGAGGGGACAGGTGGTATGGCTCTTCCTACCTGTAGCTGCTGTAGCCCGGCGCCAATCACATCATGCAGGTTTGTTTTGTCCTCTGGGCCCATTGCTTGTTTGTACTGCCACTTTTCAGGCACGAAGGGCCACTTCATTTCCTTTGCCTCCTGGATCAGAATCCTTAACTCGCTGGGGAGTAAAGCTGCAAAGGTCAGAGTTCAGGTTAGGAAATTGCAGTCAAAGAAAAGGCTACAGAGCTACCCATGTTATGATGAAGCATCTCAGAGACAGAGAGTGAGAAAACCTTTCCCCTACCTCTTGCCCGCTGGTCTAAGCATTTGGTTCAGACTCAAAGAATAATAACATGGAGCTATCTGTCAAGGTTGGCCCTGCTCTACTGTGCCCTGAGGGTAAACTGGGGGTAGTCAGGCATTAAGAAAGGGTTTTAGCAGGAAGCAAAGCACTTCACTGTCTATCTCTGCATGAACAATCAGAGAAAGGGATGAAGGAAATATTATTTTCCCTGTAAAACGAGAAAGGGATTGGAATGGCACGGCATGAGGGGTTTGTGGCAGCTGGGTAATGGAGAGTAATTTGTTCCACTTCTTTTGGCTTCGGTGTGTTGCATCCTAGCTCTGTGAATCGAACGCACTTGAACACAGAGAATTATGAAAAACAACAACCACACACATGAGATGTGAAATGATCTCAGTTCATGGTAAAATGTCCTGTTCTGAAGTAGTAGTTGTATAAAATGTCTCTGTGGGCACCAAGTCTACGTATACTGTTTCAACAATATCCTAGCCAAACTCTAAAGCCTAGCAACTCTGGAAAGTGGATTTTTTTTCTTCTATTTTCTATCATCAGCGTTGAATTTATTCAATTCAAGTCTATTTCTAGTTCTGGTTTCTACTTGTTCAGATGATTCACTTCCACTGTGTAAACTTTGAAACTGTGTAATGTTGATAACTGAAAGAAACTTGTTCTCAGTAAAGGTTATGGCTCGCTCTATCTATCTATCTATCTATCTATCTATCTATCTATCTATCATCTACCTACTTATCCAACTATAAATCACCAAGTACTTGTCTCAAAGGCATCTCACACTGAACATACCCAAAACTGAATAAAAAAATCTGTCACCCAAACCTGAAGCCTGATCACTCTAGTTTTGTGTTCTTTCTCCCTGAATCTAATTGGTTATCTAATCCTCCATTTCCTCCTGCTCAGTATTTTTTTAAAAAATCCAGTCTCACTCTAGCTATTCCATCTTCTCTATTTGTCCATCCTCTTTCTCACAAAATGGACCAGGACATCACTCTGCACAAAATGCTTGAATTCTTCCATTTCACCCTTTCTGTTCTGTGTATACTGTCTACGCCATGCCTTGATGGACAGAGTCAGGCCTACTGCCTTCAGCATTTCATGCAGACATACATGCCTGGTCTCTCAGCCTGCTGGGACCTCACAGTGGAAGTGAAAAGTCCCTTCTCTGCACTCCCAAAACCAGAAGGCTCGTGCTCTTTCATCCTTCATCACACTTCGCTGTGACTACTTCTGTCTGAATTGGGCTGGAAGCTTCCTGAGGACAGGTGTCATGTCCCATGCTTTGTAAAAATCATACCGTGATGGGCAGAAGAATATCAAGGTAAAGAGACATCATTAGTCTTATGAAAGCCTGAGGCATACTAAACAGTGCAAATAAGAAAAGACAAAACAAAGAAAGGCAAGAAGAAGAAGGAAGAATCTAATTTTGTTTTGTTCTTTCTTTCTCTCTTTCTCTCTCTTTCTTTCTCTCTTTCTCTTTCTTTCTTTCTTCCTTCCTTCCTTCCTTCCTTCCTTCCTCCCTCCCTCCCTCTCTCTCTCTCTCGCTCGCTCTCTTTCTTTCTTTCTTTCTTTCTTTCTTTCTTTCTTTCTTTCTTTCTTTCTTTCTTTCTTTCTCTCTTGCTTGCTTGCTGGCTTGCTTGTTTGCTTTCTTTTCTTCTTTCTTGCTTTCTTTCTTGTCAATCAAGGGGCTTGAACTCAGCGCCTGGGCTCTATCCATGAGGGTTTTGTTTTATTTTGTTTTGCTCAAGGCTAGCACTCTACCACTTTGAGCCAAAGTGCCACTTCATGTGTTCTGGTGGTTAATTGGAAATAAGAGTCTCATAGACTTTCTTGCCTGGGCTGGCTTTGCACCACAATCCTCAGATCTCAGCCTCCTGAGTAGCTAGGATTACAGGTGTGAGGCATGGGTGCCCGGCTTTCCTCTGTGTCTTTTTTTTTGGACTGGCCACCATGTTTCCAGGCAGAGAAGGACTACTTGGCACTGAGGGGATATCAGGTGAAACTCTGATGAGTGATTGGTCTGAGAACTCATGGTGGCTTTCCCTCCCACTCTGACTCAGTAGTCCAGAACTCCTGAACACCTCTGTTCTACCATAGTCTCCTCCAATGGAATCAGAGTCCTGGCATGGGGGACTTACAGGGTCACATTCTGCTATAGAATGTGGCTCTTATCCAATCACTGAGATTATTTCAATTTCTGAAAATATTCTTAATACCTATATATAGAGCAAACTTCCCCAAGGGAAGTTCTCAATAGTTATGAGTGGTCTGGCTATGCAGGCCTGTGTGCTGTGCTCTACATGTACCTTTCCACAGCGCCACTTTTCACTTTCAAGAATGTCCTCTGGGGGGCTGGGAATGTGGCTCAGTGGTAGAGTGCTTGCCTTGCATGCATGAGGCCCTGGGTTCAATTCCTCAGCACCACATAAGCAGAAAAAGCTGGAAGTGGTGCTGTGGCTCAAGTGGTAGAGCACTATCCTTGAGCTGAAGAGCCGAGGGACAGTGCCCAGGCCCAGAGTTCAGGCACCATGACTGGCAAAAAAAAAAAAAAAAGAATGTCCTCTGGGGCCAGACACTGGTGGCTCACGCCTGTAATCTTAGCTATTCAGAAGCCTGAGATCTCAGGATTACAGTTCGAAGCTAGCCTGGGCAAGAAAGTCCATGAGGCTTTTATTGCCAGTAAACTACTCAGAAAAAGCCAGAAGTGGCTTGTGGCTGAAGTGGTAGAATGCTTAGCTAACCTTGAGCTAAAAAGAAGCTCAGGGACAGCACCCGGCCCCTGAGTTCAAGCCCAAAGATTAGAATAACAACAATAAAGTATGTCCTCTTGATCAAGATGCATTGTATTCATAAACTGATTTGTTAAGTGACAACTCCTTTATATAACTACTTAAAGATAATAAAAATATTTTAAAACTTTTTTAGAAAGAGTGTTCTTGTTTGGTAAATTATCTGGGCCCTGAGAATGTGGGTGGTGATGTGACAAAAGAAGCATGATTTGAGGTTGCCAGCATTTCAGCATACTTTGGAACTGAATCGCTTCAGATAACTAAATTTCTTCACAACAATTCAAGTATTATTTTTTTGAGATGTTTTTATTATGTAAGCTAGATTGGCCTTGAACTCAAGATTCTCCTGAGTATTGCGATTACAGGCATGGCCCTGGCAGAGAAAGCTTATTCTTTTTTTTTTTTTTTTGGTTGGTCGTGGGGCTTGAACTCTGGGCCTGAGCACTATCCCTGCGCTCTTCAGCTCAAGGCGAGTGCTCTACCGCTTGAGCCACAGCGCCACTTCTGGTTTTCTAGTGGTTAATTGGAGATCAGAGTCCCACAGACTTTTCTGCCCAGGCTGGCTTTGAACCATGATCCTCAGATCTCAGCCTCCTGAGTAGCTCGGATTACAGGCGTGAGCCACCGGTGCCCAGCTGAAAGCTTATTCTTTACAACTTATTTTGCCTCCTCTGAACTGTCTTTCCCTACGGGCCATACTGGATCATGGACAGCCCTCTTGTTTCCACTTCCAATTTAGTGATTTTTTTTTTTGTCAGCCCTGATTTGTCTTATCTGGAACCAAACAGATTGTTTCCCCTATTCTGTGGCACTTGGGAAGGAAAAGAAAAGAAAAAATGCTATCGGCTCAGGAGTTCTGAGTTTTCACTAGGGAGAACACAAAGCTTAAAGGTATGTGGATGGGAAAAACAGTCTGATGTAGTTAGAGGACAAGAGAGAAACTTCAGTAACAACCACAAAACTGGGCACTGGCAGCTCACACTTGTAATTGTAGCTACTCAGGAAGTTGAGAGGATCAAAGTTTGAAGGCAGCCCAGGCAGGAAAGTCCTGGAGACTCATATCTCCAATTCACCACCACATAATCTTTTCCCCAGCACACAAACAACATCTATAACAAAAGAATGAGGAGTATGGCTTTTACTTGGGCATGTTATTTGGGTAGGAAGTAATTTTTAAAAAAAAAAGACATTAAAATACTAATAGTCAAAAGAAAAATGTTAAAAGGAATGATAAAGGATCTACTTATAGAAACAGAGGGACATTTATTTGAATGGTTGAAAAGAAATCATTCCAGAACTAAGAATTGTTCTCACTTTCTAGATCTCGGGACCAGAATATCTCCAGAATGACTTGTCAGCCGGCACCGATGGCTCATGCCTATAATCCTAGCTACTTAGGAGGCTGAGATCTGGGGATTGTAGTTCAAAGCCAGCCTGGGCAGGAAATTCTTTGATATACTTTTATCTCTAATAAACTTCTCAGAAAAAGCCAGAACTGACACTGTGATTCAAGTGGTAGAGACTTCAGCACAAAGCTCAGGAACAACACCCAGGCCCTGAGTTCAAGCCTCAGGATTGACAAAAAAAAAAGACAAGACAGAATGGCTTTTCTATAGTATGAGTAGTACAAACTCTGAGATGAGCAAAAAAGCCAAACTCTTAACACCTGGCCATGATGCACTCAGTATTTACTGAGATGAGTGGATGATATTTATGAATGGCCAGAAGAATGGTGATCATGAGAGATGAGACGGCTAAGATGACATATTTGTAGAAATGGTAGAAGTCTATGGAAATTCATGAGGCACAAAACCCTTGTTTGGGCCACCATTCAGAAGTTGCTTCAATTTTTTAATAATTGAAATTTACGTGCACTCGCCGGCAACGTGGACCCTTTGTTCTTCTTGAACTAAACTGTTTCTTGAAGCCTCATGTGTACTGAAGCCTAAAATTAGAACTGACAGCAATTCATTGCAACAAAGTAGGCTTTCCTTCCCTGGCCCGTCTGCCTGTAGCCTATGTCCCATTCATGCCCTAGAAATCCACTCATTTTTCAGTGGTCATCTGCCCAAAGAAGAAAAATAGGACAGGGATGAGCGCGTGCTGTTGGGGCGAGGAAGATGAGGGTGAACCTTTGGGCTCACCGCTGGTCTCTCTCTCAGCAGATCCTCACCTCTGCACCGCTGGTCCTGCGTCTTGTCCTCTTCTGACACATCTGGCGCCTCCAACAAGAGCTGGTCCAGCACCTGCTTGCACTCTGCCAGCAGCACAGCCACTGCTTTTTGATTATTCATGATGATTCACGATGAATCGAGAATCCCTGGGTCTATGGTGATCAATTACCTACGAGAAGACATTGATTCTCAATAAAGGAGCCCCTGGAAGGCCGAGGTACCTGGTGAACAAAAGAGGAAGAAAGATGATAAACTAGAGCATCATCAATTATCTGTAAGACTCAAGCAGGGAGAGATAATAGGGCAAACACAGGAAAATACATGACAGCCCCCGAGGATATTATTAGAGGAGTGTGTGAAATGATTATAGTCTACTGAGGATGGACAGACCTTGAAGGCATCGAGTGCAGAAGGGAGAGGGTGCTGAATCACTCAGGGCCAAGGAAGATGAATATGCCTCATGATTGATGTATCGCCTGCATACTTCCCATCCGTTTCTCTGCATCCCAGTGGCATCATGCTTTGTGCCTTTCTGGGAGTCTACAGGAAGCATCTAAGTGTTCTAATATCCACACACAAGCATATGAGAAGATGAAGTTACCACTCTCATAGCCCACTGCTAATTTCACCTGTGCACTATTCTTCATGATATCATTTGAACCCAGAAAGGCAAAGACAGATACCAAATTTAAAGCTCGTCCCTGCCAGGCACCTTGCTAAGTAAAAGAGGGAAAGACCGTCCCAGGAAACTGGGTTTTTTAGATTTAGCACAGAAGTAGATCTATCATAAAGATAGATAGGTCTGCTCACACTACCATTTAACATAGAACTCACCGAGAGTTCCTTATGTCCATAGGAATGGGATGTACCAATCTATTGTAGTTCAGGTAATTTTAAGAACAAAATGATTTATTGGCAGTGTGAAAAAAAATAACTGGTAAATAAGTAGAAAAAAGAAGATACTTGATCATGTTAATACTTGATTAAAAGATACTTGATTAGCAATCTCTTTTCTCTTTTTAAATATGTTTTATATTGTAAAAATACTGTGCAAAAGGGTTACAATTACATGAGTAAGGTAATGAGTACATTTCCTATTGAGCATTGTTACCTCCTCTTTTGTTTCCCCCCTACCATCCCTTCCTTCCCCATCTCCCCAACGCCTCCCTCCCCCCTTCTCACCCCCCCCGCCCCGCAAGTTGTAAAGTTCATTTTCAACATAGTGTCTTGTACATCTCATTGTTACAATGGGTCATCCTGTATCCTTATTTCAGCATTTTGTCATTTCCTTTCCCCTTCTCAAATTAGAAAAATGTATATTTAAGATGCAGGGCACCAACATCAAAATACAGTGAAAACAGGGGTTATACCATGGGGGAAGAACATACAAGAGAAACAAAAAAATCACATAGTACAATTTAAATACATTATAACAACAGCAAGAAAGAAAAAAACCACTTGGTCCCTATCTTGGGATTTACTTCACTTAATATCATCTTATATGGTCATATGTACATAGCCTTTGACCTTTTCTGCTTGTCCTAGACTCATACTAGTTATTGCAAGTAAGGGAAACCATGGGACCTATGTTTCTTTGGGCCTGGCTTACTTCTCTTAATATAATTTTTTCCAAGTCTTTCCATTTCCTAACAAATGGGGCAGTATCATTCTTTCTGATGGAGGCATAGAAATACATTGTATAAATATACCACATTTTCTTGATCCATTCATCTACTGAGGGACATTTGGGTTGGTTCCACATCTTAACTATGGCAAATAATGCTGCAATGAACAGAGTTGTGCTGATAGCTTTAGTATAGCCTTGTTTGTGATCATTTGGGTAAATGCTCGAAAGTGGGATTGCTGGGTCATAGGGGAGCTCTATGTGGAGTCTTTTGAGGAATCTCC